TTGATCATATCATTGATCTCTTGGAGCTCAGCGACATCCAGGATGCCTTGATTGGAGGTATGTGACGGGGCCGAACAAAGACTGATTTGTGGGTACTGACAATGTAGTTCCCGGGGCTGGTTTGAGCATCGAACAGCGGAAGAGAGTGACACTGGGTGTTGAACTAGTCGCCAAGCCAACGCTTCTTTTCTTGGATGAACCGACCTCCGGACTTGATGGACAGTCCGCTTACAACATTATCCGGTTCCTGAGAAAGCTGGTCGACAGTGGTCAGGCTGTGCTGGTAAGTCCGTCCATCTTTGTATATTGGCAGTATCTCACATCTTTCAGTGCACCATTCATCAGCCATCAGCGGTCTTGTTCGATGCTTTCGACTCGCTAGTGCTGCTCGCCAAGGGCGGAAAGATGACCTACTTCGGAGAGAGTAAGTTTGTCGCCTGTCTCCCTAGACACTATCTAACATTCTTCAGCTGGCGAGGAGTCTCACAAAGTGTTGGAATACTTTGCAAAGAACGGAGCCCCCTGTCCTCCTGAGATGAACCCCGCAGAACACATTGTGGAGGTTATCCAAGGTAATACTGAGAAGCCTATTGATTGGGTTGATGTGTGGAGCCAATCTGAGGAGCGCGAGCGCGCTCTTGCAGAACTCGAAGCTTTGAACAAGGAGGGCCAATCACATGCCGATTATGTGGAAGACCAAAGCAACTTTGCAACCCCAGTTTGGTTCCAGTTCAAGATGGTGCTGCATCGCCTGATGGTCCAGCTATGGCGGTCGCCGGTAAGTCCTAATATCACCGTTGACTAGGGCCACCAACTAACAAGAACAGGACTACATGTGGAACAAAATCATTCTGCACGTCTTCGCCGCGCTGTTCAGTGGATTCACCTTCTGGAAGATGGGAGATGGAACTTTTGCGCTACAACTTCGACTGTTTGCGATTTTCAACTTCATCTTCGTTGCCCCGGGATGTATCAACCAGATGCAGCCGTTCTTCCTGCACAATCGCGATATCTTCGAGACCCGAGAGAAGAAGGCAAGTCCTGTGAGCAGCATCATCAGTAACACCAGCTAACTGAACCAGTCTAAAACCTACCACTGGATCGCATTCATCGGCGCCCAAGCTGTTTCGGAAATTCCCTACCTGATTGTCTGCGCCACGCTCTACTTCGCATGCTGGTACTTTGTTGCCGGATTGCCCGTTGATGCGTACATCTCCGGCCACATGTACTTGCAAATGATCTGTAAGTAGCCTCCCGTTACAATATTGAGCAAAACTGACCAATATAGTCTACGAGTTCCTGTACACATCGATCGGACAGGCCATTGCGGCCTACGCTCCCAACGAGTACTTCGCCGCCATCATGAACCCCATCCTCATCGGCGCGGGTATGATCGCTTTCTGTGGTGTCGTTGTGCCCTACGATAGTATCACCCCCTTCTGGCGGTACTGGATGTACTACCTGGACCCCTTCACCTACCTGGTCGGTGGTCTTCTGGGTGAGGTGCTCTGGGATGTCAAGGTGCAATGTGAACCTTCGGAATATATTCAGTTCAATGCCCCATCCGGACAAACATGCGGTCAGTACATGGCCGAGTTCATCTCCGAGCAGACGGGCTACCTCATGGACGCGAATGCCACCGGCACTTGCTCGTTCTGCCAGTACTCGATGGGTTCGGACTATGCCAAGACCTTCAACTTGAAGGAGAAGTACTACTCGTGGAGAGATGTAAGTGTATCACTGGCGAGAGATGAGACTAAATGCTGATCGATACATTGCAGACTGGAATTACAGCGTTGTTCTGTATCACTTCGTACGGACTGGTGTTCTTGATGATGAAGTTGCGGAGCAAGAAGACCAAGAGTGCACGGTCGGAGTAGACCACATGATAAGAGGTGTTGATGTAAATAGGGGGAGGGGGCATTGATCGGAAGAGCTAGACAGGCATTATATGGGTACATAGATTTTGGATGATACACCGACTGGATGCAGTCATATAGATACAATTTGTTATACTAGAGTTTAATACAGCATCGCATGGTTTATTTCTATCACATCTTTTTCCTTTCGACCTGAATTTGGTGGCTGGCACAAGTAGTATGACTTTTAGAAGTAGGAAGGGCAGTGTGAGCGTGAAAAATATCTGTATTGAAATGAGCAGACTAAAAGCCAAAGTAACTAGGCTTGTCCGCCATCATGCTAGATTTTTATCGGAATTGTCGGAAGGACCGACACCAATCTGAAGATCATCCTGAGTCTCTTCCTCTCTAAAATATAATAGTATACATAGTATATGAGTACAACAAAATATATAACCAACCACCAAGAAAAAAGCCAGCCCGAAACAAAACCCAGGGTATATATATAACCAAACCAAACTCCCAAACCATAAAAAGCATCCATCAAAACCTAAACCTCGGCGTATCGACCTGCGACCTCACATACGCGACATCCACCAACCTGCCCAAAATCACATACTCCAACTTCAACTTAATACTATAAACCAAAGCCTTGAACGTCACCTGGAACGTAAAAAACCCGGCATACTGAATCCCCACGACCGACAAATCCAAGACAATAATCACCACATTCACCAGCAACAACTGCACCAACACACTCCTCGACAACTCCCCACTATCCATGCGCAACATCCTCGCCGTCTCGCGTATATACAGCCCCGAGAGTAACAGCTCCTGCGCACAGAACCATACCAACTGTATGCGCTCCATGATCCCAAATGCCACATTCACAGGCTGAGAATCCGGCATCGCATTAACCGCTAGTTCCAGCCCCTCGCTCGAGCAATGTAGCAACACTCCGTCGAAGATAATCAGGTAGAGGAGGCCGCGCAGGAGTTTCTTCTGATGTAGCACGAGGTGTAGTCGCGACCAAAGAACGAGGGATTGTCCGGTGACCATGCCGGCCCAGCCGACGCCGACTATGGAGATCTCGAGGAAGTAGTTGGTGAAAGTGAGACCGAACATTTTGAGCAGGTAGCCGAGGCTGAAGGGGATGATGGAGAGGGAGGCGATCAGGAGGGACCAGAAGTAGGTGCCGGTGTAGCGTTTGAAAGTGTTGAGACAGAGGATGACCAGCTCGATGGCATTGCACCATGAGAGGGCGATGAGGATAGGGAAGACATATTCTTCGACGGTGGTGTTGAGATGTCGGGTTAGGCCGGAGGGGGATTGGGTTGCCGCGTCGTCAAGGGTGAAATGGGGCATTAATGGGAGGCATTGATGGGGGGAGGAAAGGCAGCGGAGGTTATTTATTGATGGATGGAAGGGAGGCGATGAGGGTAGGTGGTGGTGGTGGAGATAGGGAGGGTTACACAGCACAGCATAGCAAGTTAACTTTTGCAATGGTAATCAGCAGTGAGGCGAAGTTGGTAATCATAGAGTTCGTCGCAAAGTTGTGGCACCCGATCTGGCAGGCAGAAGGAACGGCTGTGATTTGATCGAGAACGGCCAATTGCGTCATGGATGTCGGCAGTTGAGGCGGTTGTCATGCGCTTATTGGTTGGAGATACAGGGATTGCGGATAAGACAGCCAATAGAAATGAACATAGACTGCTAATCTCTCCTTATTTTGACTAGCTGCGTCGGTTGAATGGAAGGTGGTGATTGGTGGAGTAATCTAGTCGGAACGGTTCTGCCCGATAAGGCAACCCCTGATATTCGGCCATTATTCCTGACGGCCCGGTAATTTTGGGGACGTGTTTGTCTTGTTTGTCTTGTTTGATCAGGGACACGTCGCGTGCTCATTTGGGATCGCTCTTTCCTTACTGCCTGCAGACGCGATAGTCATGGCCATGCTGCGGCAAGTATAAGGCTGAGATTGCCGACAGCTGCATCGGCGGCTAGTACTGCCTCTCACAGCAACAGCAGCTAATCACGTACGGAGCTCTTCCCCGCCATTACCTCAATGGAGCCGGGGACAAACAATCATTCTTCCTCACCGGTTCTGCTGCCTCTCAAACCTCCGCCCCCGACGTGTCAGCAGGCGTGACAATCATGCTTCCCACTAAGAGCCTGGATTTGACCGGGCGGAAGCCTCTGTATCGCCTCTCCGCTACTCCAGCGCCTCCTACCACTCCACATGCTCCGAATACAAAGCCCGTGGCCCAAACACCGACACATCCTTCGGCACCGCAGTACCAGCCATGGCAGCAAACTCCTCCCCACCCATATCCGGCCCCGTCACCTCATGGACAGCCTCCGCAGGTTCTCTCCCCGTATAGCGAAGCCACTCATGGCACCGACATGCAGGCTGCGCGACGGCGTGGACGAATGCTATTCGAAAACGAACTCATCATCCTCTTCAAAGGCTGTATCGAGCGAAAGGACATGTACCTGACCAACCCGAACCGAAGCGTATTCTGGGACAACGTGGCGGGGTACATGAACAACTTCACGGGTCGGAATTTCTCGCCCCCATCCTACCAGCAAATCGTGACGGACCGAAGCATTGAGCGTCGGACACATCGACGCGACATCGTGACTGGGAAGGTCCACGCGGAGCCACCAAACGCCCTCACGACTGTGATCGATCAGTGGATTGCAATGGAGGATGAGCTTCTGAAGCAAACGAGCGAGATCGAGGCTTCGTCGCATAAACGGCCCACACCGGACGATTCTACTACGCAGGATGCCAACCAAGCTAAGCGTTTGCGACTGGAGACGGCGGATACTTCCCAGGTCACCCTTTCGAGTCCTTCGCAGGCACGTCGTGAAGTGGACGGGAACAGTCTTGCCCGGGCTTTGGTGCAAGAAGTTCGAGATCTACGACGAGAGATGGGAGAAGTCCATCGGAAACTAGACTTAGTTTTGGAGGCGCTTGAGGGGGTGAATGAGAAACCGGATAACGTGGAATCAGACAAAAGATGATCCTGTGTGGGGTTATTGTTGTTGAGCTCGGACAAAACTGCCGTTTGAGGGAGTGAGAGGCATTGAAAGTGGCTGCTCGGTCGGTCGTTGCGAACAGCCGAGACCGTTCAGCCCCTCCTTCCCCGCATTCAATAAGAAGATGAGGCTATTTAACTGAGCTTGACAGAAGGGATCTGTATGGGAATGATTGACGCAATTTTTTTTTTTTGGCAACGCAATCAGCTATCATGGCTCCTACATTCCGTGCAGAACAAATCGGGTCGTTGATGCGGCCCGAGGAGCTGTTGGCTGCCCGTAACGCCGCCGGACTGGGCCGCATCTACACGCGAACCAACGTGCCGGAGGATGTGCAGCAGGTGACAAAACAGGCGATCGCCAAGGTGGTGGAGCAGCAACAGGCGCACAAGGTGCGCCCTATCATGACCGGAGAGTTTGAGCGGCCCATCTTCTATGCCGGATTCTTTGAGAACCTGGAGGGTTTCGAGTTGACCAAGGTCCCCATCCCCGAAGGCTACCGCACGGGGCTTCCGACCGTGCAGACGCTCGAGAAGCTGGGCATCAAGGAACGGGATGCCTGCGTGGCTGTGGGAAAGATCCAGCACGTGCGCAGCCCGTACCTGGCCGACTGGGAGCACCTGCGGAGTCTGGTGCCACAGGAGAAGTGGAAGGAGTGCAAGATGAGCATGCCGTCTATCACTTGGCAGCATCAACATTTGCGCGCGGGGGCCGCCTTCACGGCCTCTAGTCCGTACACGACCGACAAAGAGTACTTTGCAGACCTTGCAAGGGCCTTTGCACGGGAGTACCAGGTCCTTTACGACGCGGGACTGCGCTCCATTCAGGTTGACGATCCGGCCATGACATTCTTTGTCACGGACGAGATGCGATCGGGGTGTCTGGTGGATGGGATTGACCCGGATGAACTGCTGGACCTGTATATTTGGGCGCATAACGAAAGTCTCCGGGACCGACCCGCAGATCTTCATGTCGGAGTGCACCTCTGTCGGGGCAATATGCCCGGGTCAACGCACGTACTCAGCGGGTCGTATGAGCGCATCGCGCGACGCATGTTTACTGAGCTCGAATACGACACGTTCTACCTGGAGTATGACACGGAGCGCGCAGGAGACTTCCAGCCGCTGCGGCATTTGCCGGTGGACAAGAACGTGGTGCTGGGAGTGGTGTCGACGAAGGCACCGGAATTGGAGACGGTAGAGGAGCTGCAGGCGCGGGTGTATGAAGCGGCGGATGTGATTGCACAGGGGCAAGGCCGGAGTCGGCAAGAGGTGCTTGATAGCTCGCTTGGAGTGAGTCCGCAGTGTGGCTTCTCGAGTGTGAGCTATGGTCGGGGAATTGGAATGACGGAGGAGCGCATGTGGGAGAAGCTGCAGTTGGTGCAGAAAGTAGCCGAGCTGGTGTGGCAGTAATCTGGAGTAGTGTGTATGCACTTCACTATATTCGAAATGTACCGGATACTATTTAGTGTTGAAGAATGCGTGACCGTCAGGCACAGCAGATTACATGACCCACAATTGCTGTCAAGTACCATGGCATGCTGACCTGCACGTGGCCAAATTGTTGGGTTCCGAATATCCGTGATGATCCTTAACCAATTTATTCTTCTGCATAAATGCGGGATTTTGGGTGGATGAATTCCCGCACGGCAACTCTTTCCAGCCGAGCTTGAACTGAATCTGACCAGTCAGTCTACCGTCTATTAATTTGACTGGAGTCTATATAGTAGCTGGGGCCCGGCACGGGCTCCTTATCCATTTACTAGTAGTACTACTCCCTCACTCCACCCGCCAATCAAGCTTTCCCTTCCCACCATGCACTTCCCCCTGGCAGCCCTGACTCTGCTTCCCCTCGCCACCCACGCCATTAACATCCTCTCCTCCAACGACGATGGCTGGGCCGAGCTCAACATTCGCACTTTGTACGATGCGCTCACTGCCGCCGACCACTCGGTGGTGATATCCGCTCCTGCAGAGAATCAAAGCGGATCTGGTACTTTCTATACCTAAAACCTTGCCTTATTATCACTTCAACGAATCAAAAAGCTGATTCATACAGGCTCCAACGACGCAACACCCACTGTCCTCACCTCCCCCTGCGAATTTGACTCCTGTCCCAGCGGCAGTCCCGCCGTCGGCCACAATGCCACCCAACCACGCTTCAACTACGTCAACAGCTACCCAGCGACCTCCATGAAATACGGGCTCAACAACCTCTCCTCCACCTACTTCTCCGGCTCTCCCGACCTCGCTGTCGCCGGCCCCAACGTAGGCGCCAACATCGGTCTAGCCGTTTTCTTCTCCGGCACCGCCGGCGCAACTACCTACGCTGCCAACCAAGGCATTCCCGCTATTGCTTTCTCCGGCTACACTGGCTCCCAGATCGCCTGGAATGTGAGCAGCGTTCCCACGTACAGCACCGTATATGCGCAGCTGGCGACAAAGCTGGTAGATGAGTTGGTGGAGTCCGGAACGCCGTATTTGCCCACGGGTGTGTGGTTGAATGTGAACTTCGGGGCTGTCAGCGATGATAGTTGTACGAGTGCGGATGATTTCAGCTTTGTGCTGTCGAGAATTTTTACGGCGATTCCATTGATCACGGCGGATGATGTGGAAACCTGTAATAGTACGAGGTTGCCCACCGAGCTGGACGTTATGCTGCACAGTGGATGCTGGGCGAGTGTGTCGGTGGGTATGGCGGGAGATAAGCTGGATGCGAACGCGACAGTGCAAGGCGTGGTATTGGAGAAGCTGGGGGGATTGTTGACCTGTCTGGATTGATTCCACTTTTCCAGAGGTGGATTGTAAATAGTACTAGTACATAGTATATAGTCAGTATAGTATAATAGGCAGAGTAGCATGTGCAGCCCTATGTCCGCATATACGCCTGCAGGATGCGTGGCCCGAACACCAGCCATTATTGGTTGAAAATACGCCCTCCGACATTCCGTGTCTATATGTTAATATGCGCCACTATTAATCTATTCTACTTGGTATTCCCCTCACTGCCCTGAAACCACACGTTCCTGCTGAACATTCTCCGTTCCAACATCCTCCGTGCCTGTCAGCAACTATCACCCGGATACGCACATCCAGCTGATCCTGCACAGGAATAGGCATAACCCCCGAGCAGCTACCACATGCTCTATTCTCCCGACTATTGCCCTATTGGCCCACCGCTTCCGTTCCTCTGCAGATCTGAAGATACTTGCCTATAGTAGAGATGGACATAAAAGGAGCTCCCCTTCCCCCTCATCCTCATGGGAACATTCTACAAAATAAATTAATAAATAAATAAAAAAGAAAGACACCGACAAAATGTCCCTCCGCACCCTCCTCCTCGCCGCATCCACCCTCTCCGCCACAACATCAGCAGCAGCAACAGCAAGCAAGCACCGTCTGCACGCGCGCGACTGGATCGCCAGCGACGAAATCGTCGGCTTCAACCAGACCGTCCCGGACAATTCCACCGGCGACCTCTACCTCGCTTACCAGCCCTACCTGAAGGTCGTGAACGGATGCGTCCCGTTCCCGGGTGTTGACGCCGAAGGCGATACCGAGTAAGTCCACCCTCCCAGCTACCTACCACCTTATATCCCAACCAAATCATCCTAATGTCTGAAAAACAATGATAGTGCCGGCCTAGCCCCCACCGGCGCCAGCGACGGCGACTGCAGCTCCAACACAGGCCAAATCTATGTGCGCAGCAACATCTCCTCCAGCAGCACCACTAGTGAATACCCAACAGCATTGCTTTACAGCTGGTACATGCCCAAAGACGAACCCAGCGACGGCCTGGGCCACCGCCACGACTGGGAAGGGGTTATCATCTACCTCTCTGATTCTACTACCGTCTCCGCGGATAATATCCTGGCTGTGTGTCCGTCCGCGCATGGCGGGTGGGATTGTTCCACGGATGGGTATACGCTTGATGGTACGAAGGCACTCATCAAGTATGAGAGTATCTGGCCATTGGATCATAGTTGCGGGTTGACGGATGTGGTGGGTGGGACGCAGCCGCTTGTGGCGTGGGAGAGCTTGACTACGGCGGCGAGGGATGCCTTGCAAACGGCGGATTTTGATAAAGCCATTGTGCCGTTTAAGGATAGTACTTTTGATGAGAATTTGGCGAAGGCTACTTATTGATTAGGACTGGGGTTATGATGAGAGGGGGAGGGGGTGGATGTATATAGTTGGATGGGTAGGGTTGTGGGTAGTATATATTGAAGTTTCATATGTCAGATGATAATCTGTCTATGTGATGAGTATTTGTTGAGTTCAGTGAGAGACTTGATCTAAAGAGAGGTTCTTTATGTGAAGGGTTCCGGTCGAGGTAAGAAATAGCTAGTGGTTTTCTAATTTCTACTAGGTTACTGTTTATGTTGATTCTGGGAGAATATGAGGCAAGTCAATTTATTTAATACACTAAACAGCATAGACTAGCTATGACTGACAAGAGTAGAACTAACAAGAGTAGCTATTACTTAGCTACTTAAGCACTAGCAATGCACTGGTAGTAGTAAGGGTTGTAAGAGTGGCAGCTAGATCCGCTAGCACACTGAGTGGCACCAGTCCAGTTGATACCACCGCACTGGCCGTACATAGACTGGCTACCGGAGCTACCGGAAGCAGCAGAGCTGACAGCCGGAGCAGGGGTGATGGTCGACTGAGCAGGCTCGGGCTGGACCGAGGTAGTGGGCTGCACAGCCTGGGGAGTGTTGGTGAAAGTCAACAGGGTAGTCCAAGAGGAGGGGACCTGCACGGGGATCTGAGTGTAGGCGGAGGAGCTGGAGCTGGGGGCAGCAGCGGCAGGGGCACTGCTGGACTGAGCGACCTGGGTGTTGGTGTCAACGCTGGTCACGGCGGCAGCGCTGGTAGCGGCGGCAGCGGTGGAAGAAGCAGAGGCGACGGCGCTGGCGCTGCCAACGACGGCAGTGCCTGTGGAAGTGATAGCGGAGGTAGTCTGGGTGATGGAGACGGCGCCGCTGTAGGCAGTAGGGCCGGGCACGGTGTAAGTGGTCAGGGTGGAGTAGATGTTGACGAGGATGCCATTCTCAGTGGCAGTGTAGAGCTCGGTACCCTTGACACCGGAGGGAGTGGCAGTACCGGTACCGGTGACCTGGAGGTTGAAGCACTGGGGGTAGTTCTGGGCGCCGTCCTCCTCCTCAGCGCCGTGGAGAGCGATGAGCTCGTGACGGAGGACGTAGTTGCCGGCGGCGATGGAGGGAGGGATCTCGACCATCCAGCTGTTGTTGTTGTTGATCAGCTGGTCGGTACCCCAGGTACCGGGGACCTCGGAGTCGCTGATGAGACCGACACCGTCGATCTTGAAGAACTCCAGATCGGTCTTGTCGACGGTCTCGCAGCTGCCGTCGCAGCGCGCCAGGTAGTCCAGGACGGGACCGTGGTGGGAGTCGGGCCAGGCGGTCCACTGGATGTTGATCTTCTCACCGGCACCGACGACAACGTGGGCCTGGGCGTTGGTGGCGTTCTCGTGGCAGATGATGTTAGGGTCGCGGTACGCATCGGGCGAGATGAAGCCGTTGCCGGTGTTGGGGGTCGTCCAGGCGGCGACCTTCGGGGGGTCGGACTCGTAGGGGAAGACGCTGATGTCGAAACCCTCGTAGTAGACACCGTCGACGACGAGGTTGGTGACGTGACCGTGGGCAGCGACCTGAGTGGCCGACAGGAGGGCCGCGAGGAGAGAGGCAGACTGAGCTTGACGCATGATTGCTAGAGTGGTTTGGAGAAGAAGGAAAAGTTTGTAGAGAATGTAATGGAATGTAGAGTGTTGTAAAGAGTGAGCGCGCAGCGCAAAGAGTGTGAAAGCCTCAATCAATGAAGCGGAAGGCAACGAAGGGAATGAATGAAGAGAAGACTTGCTTGAGGAAGGAAAAAAACAACAGCATGGTCGAGGAGCAGCATGGCTTTTAAGTCTTCGAGTCGCCCTGTCAATATTCGGCGATGCTTCACCTGTGTCATATCTCAAACCACCGCTGGAGCCATGACACCCACCCAGGAGACTGGTCTGACCACCGCCCTAGATAGCGGGCCCGAACTGGGCCCTTGGGAAGCGCCGTAGCAATTAAGGTGAGGGCAAACGGCGGTAGGGCAGGGGCAAGTGTTCCAGATCCGTCTGATATTAAGGCTATTGCCCGGCTAGGGTCTTGGCTGTCGGAGAGTTTCCACTTTTGCCTCACAACAACCTTCTGTCACCATCTGTCGAGCATGTTCTTGTCGGTTTCACTCAGAGCTCGCTTATCATGAAGAAGCTTTTCTCAATTAACAGTTCAAGAACAGTTGTTCAACAGGTAAATGAACGCTGCCAGCGTGGTTAAAAATAGTAGCAGATGCCCGCCGCCCACTGCGGATCCGGCACTAGTCCCCGAGGAACTAGTGTATCCCTAACTGGATGATAGCTCATCGGAGTAATGCTGGTCCAGACTCATATAAATTAACTCTTCCCTGACTGGTCGTCCCCACCAATTACGCCCCTTGATGCTGAATAGCCGCCGTTCCTGCAGCACTCAGTCCCTGCCAATTTTCCACAGACGCCCGCCACCACATTCGGGAGCGAAATCTCTGAGTTCTCCAATGACAACCAGTAGTGGACCATCGTCTTGCTTAGATGCTAGTATAGATGGAGCATATTCGTCAGCAAAAGCCTGTTGCCTCGCCAAGTTTGGTAGCGCTTTGACCGGCCAGGGTCCACGTCGGAGTCTGCTCCGTGGAGGCACAGCTGTGTAGGGAGTACCCTGCACTAATTTGCAGTCCCTGATCGCGGAGGTGTATAACGATTGTGCCATCACCATAGCATACCAACACAACCTCAACTACAGCAAATACGACGCTGTAAAACCAAGACCGTGCGACTACCAAGCAACTTTAAGATCATTAAACAATTAACCTTAAGTGAGACACAACGGTAACGTTGAATGACTCGCCATGGTAGTGAGCCCTTGGCAAACCGGAGCGAGTGTGGGCCCTGAAACATACCTATTTATTAAAGGCGGCCGCAGCGTCAACATACATCCTCTGGACAGCCTGCTTTCCTAATGTAGCCCTGGTCGGCAGGGCAGTTCCGGCCCTGACTCAGCGGGTCTGCGCGGAATTAAACTAATATGAGCTGCTTGTAAGGCTGTATTTAGCCAGATTTGGTGGCATCGGATGTTCGGATCGGATATAAGGGCATATTGCAGGGGCTCTGGCAAGTCTCGGAGCGGGGATCAGACCTCGCTCGAAGTCAGTCATTGGCGGTCGCATGTATCATCAGTATTCCCAGGAGCATTTAAGCGCCGTGTTTATGACTGATCATATTACTGCAACGATTTCATTATCACGCGGTACCTGGAGAATACTGCCCACAGTATCGGTAGTATCAAGAATAAAAAAAAGAGTACGAACGCAGTTTGAAGAGAGAAAGAGAATTGCAGAAAAGACACATCAATAAAAGAAAAGCGAATTAATAGACAGGAAAAAAGGAAAATCAAAGAACAAGCTACCACTTCCAATCACTCGTTGACCCATCCCAGTCGGGCCCCGGGGGACGGGGGCACTTGGCCAGGCCCCAAGCGAACCACACCGCAGGAGACCACCTTTTCTTCTTCATATTAGTCGTCGCCATATAGAAGCCAACGATGAAACTTCGTATACACATAAGCGTATCAGCAACAGCCTTTTCTCCAGATTGCATTCCAAGGTCAAGGATTTACAGAGTAGACGACTCCTCGTCCCAGACGAGGTTGGACAGCCTGCCACCAAGAGGCATACAGCCCCATTTAGAAAGCTGTCTGTAGCTTAAGTCAGTTAAACCAGACGCACATGATGGACGTAAGAGAAGGAAGAAAGAAAGACGAACAGAAAGTTATTCCTGAAGTGCTCCCTGACGGTGTCCCTTTCATCTCGTTCCATCCTCCAGAAACCAGAGTCTTCGTCCCCACCCTCTGTACCCAGTTGTTCGCCAGAAACAACCTCCCAGGCTACATAGACTAGGAAGCCACCAGGGACAAAGCCTGAGTTATCCTGGGTGGTCTTTTTGGAGTCCAGAAGGCGCGGCGTGAATCTGGAGCGCTTGTTGGTAAGGGCACGGAGCGCTATCAATTCATCTGGCTCACAGGGTTTGGCTTGCTTGGCGCGAATAGCTGCTGGCTCGGCCTCGGTACCAGCGGCTGGGATCTGTTTATAGATCCTGATATGTGATTTGATATTTCCATCTGTCTGCTCACAAATGAGTCGAATTGTGGCGTCGGAGGCGGGAGGGTGGCCTGGACTGCCTTGGTCCTTAGAATATTGCGAGATGTGCTCCTCACACGCCTGAACGACGGTCCACGACTTCTGCATCTCAATAACTGCACCAGGACTTATTTCAGACTCCGAAAACCAGTGAGAAAGCATGATTGATATGACTCTGATATCTAGGGACTTTTGAGATGATGTATCGAAATCGAAAGAGTGTATTGGAGATAGGGGATACCTCTGTGTTTATAGTATAGACGGCCAACACATATAAAAGACGAAAGGCTAGATGATGGAGTCAAATAGACCGACACTCTGCTTCCAGGAGACCCACTCAAGATATTGTGAATGGTAGAGAACCCCTCTTGATGTGTTAATGAGGTTAGAGGGGCGCCTGCGGTCTTGAAAACTTTAAAAGGAACCACATCCATTCATTAGTAATAGCACAGCATTCCAACCAATGTCGTCTTCAGCAATAGATAGAGATAAAACCCCTTTCTAACTCCAAAAATCGCCATTAAAACTTTTTGTCTAGTTGAATTAGGGTAAGAATGGCTTTCCATTAATGGGACAAATAACTCTAAAAGTTAAAATTATATATGACATAACGTATATGAATCTTTTTGTATGTTTATTTACAATAAATTCGCAACATAGTGTACGATTCTCAGAGAACTAGATCGATCATTTTGATATCTAATAAGAAAAATATATCTACTATTATACTAAAATAATGTTGAAAATATATATTTCAAGTTGATATGAGGTCCTAAAAGTAGAGTATGATAACCAGTAGATGGGAACTTGAAGACAGAATAGCAGAAAATATTAGAAATCACTGATAGCTTTATGTGCAATTCAAGCTTACAATCTATCTCCACGCTTGTTCACAACCCAACCCTTCCTCCTCGATGTTCTCGTCACATGGATACTCCCTTGCTGGGCTTCAAGACCCAAGTGAAAAAAACATTGCCTGAGACTCGGCTGTCCATTATTATACATGGTATCATGACAAACTATGGGTGAATAAAGTAAATTTGTCTGTCCCGGGATATCTTCCTGTTTCAGGAAGATCGTTTGCGTATATGTACTTAGGTACCGATGTCGCATTTTGCAGTCCCTCATATAGAGGGCCGCTTGCCCTGTAATCTCAGTTAATTCTACTATTTAATTAGGCGATGTTAGACCTCATGCTAACCAAGTATTTGGCGAAATTCTCTCTCGTCAAGGTAAGCCTGCTTGATATCATGGCGGGGGATCCAGGGAGTCTTTATCTCCCCTACTGCGTAGGGAGCTCCGGCGCCGTTGCGCAGCATGCTATCCGGCAATTTTCTGTAGTTGGTTGGGGTGCCGGTGCAGGACTTGTAATCTCCAAGGCTGATGCCCATATTCTGCGATCTGAATATAGCCCCCATAGCTTGTCCGACTAATTTATTAACACGACCTTGCGTCCCGTGCTCATCGCCAATTCGAACATGCTCGTGGGACACGCTATGGGGGGAAGGTCCGTTCTCCACTGCACATATTGCCCCTCCAGCCCAATTGTGGTTGATGAAGGTGGCCTCGACATCCTTATAAAAGTTCGGCCATGGACTGAGAATTCCTGAAAAGACAACGTCGTGTAATGCGTGATTAGTAGTCTTTTCGGGGCCTATATTCAGGCCAGGGAGGCGCTCTTGAACGAGTTCCCTTGCAGTCTTTGTAGTGCAAGCCATTGTATTGAAGATGATCTAAACTATCGAATTCAAAGACAACCAGAAACAAGTACTAGAGGAAGATGCTTGGATATGACACCATGATACTAATAATATGATATACATTCTGACCCACACATCTGATTTTGAAGTGTTAAAGACTCCATATGACAGCAAAGTAGACAAACCTCCCCCACCCGAGGGACATATTTCCATCATTTAGCTGTCTTGAGGTATGGAAGGAAGTGGGAAAAATTTCTTACATCTGCAGTAATATTTTATATATGGATAATATGACAGGATGGCTAGTCCTGGTATATACACGTGTCTTAGGAGAAGTCGGATGTTTCTAGGTTTTCGTACTAAAATCCACGCTTCATCTTACAGTTCTTCAGATAGACTGCTATGTGGCTTTTATAGGATTTAAATATATTGTCATAAGTACTGTTTTATAATCTCTAATTTCATATTACCGAGTAATACAGGAAAATGTAGGACATAGGACATCTTCGAGCAATCAGTCTTCAGAAACCAAAAATGACTTAAGGTACGTATATGCACTTTCATGCAGACCAGCATGAAAAGGCTTGGTGCTGAACGAGTAGACCACCGCAATCAAACTTTTGACTTTAAACCATAGTCCGATCTGTACAAGAAGCTATCACGAATTCTCTCCAACTCTCTCCATAGGTGCGGATGCAAAGACCCAGTCAAGAAGTGGCCTGTTGCATTAGGATCCCCGTTGATGGTGACAAGACCATGCAGGTGAATTCCTATACATTGCGCCAAATCCATGCTTTCCATGCGAACGTCGGAAAAGAGCGGCCGCACACCTGGCTTAAACTCGAGATCGTAGAGGTTGATTTGAGCGATGGAGGAGACCAGAGACCTGGGATGAGAGGGTCTGACTACCCGCGTATGCCAGAGGTGCAAGGGTCCCATTTGCTGATGTTGAAGATTGAAAGCCTCGAGGCATTCTGGTGACTGCGCAGCCCGTGTGACGCGGAGAATGTGGACTGCTAGGTTGATCGTAGTCTCGTGGCTCACTTGATTCGCGTTGAAGTCTGGTAATTGTGGAATGGGAACAGGCCAGAAGCTGTTGTGAAATTTGGCAGGACTCTTCAGTAAGTGATTGAAGTTTACCATGAAACTCAGTGGGTAGGAAGCAATGGTTGAATCGTGAGGGAATGCTCGTATAGTTGCCTGGATGGATCCCTATTAGCTGGACTTGTGTGAAAGCCCCTTGAATGGGAAGTATGCATTGTTTACCTGAAGGAGTAAAGCCATCATAATATCAATCCGAGTAATACGAATACTTTGTTTCGTAGCATCGTGGGCAATCCCATCAATTACTGACCCTGGGATGTGCAGCATGCGGGAAGACCCCGTATTGCCCCATGACGCAGGCGCCAGTCGGTGAGACAGTAATCCCAGGGTAAAATGTGACAACCCCCCGGAGAATAGGTGGTTACTTGCATTGCTCAAAGTGCTAGGGGAATAGCCTTGGCGATGGTGAGGACTGGATGGCATCTTGGAGGAAGCGTGAAACCGGAAAGTGACTGGCCGGTGGAAATCAGGGACATCAATATATTTCCCGGAGAGAAGCATCGAGTAAGCCCGCGCAATTTCGTACATGCCTTGATATATACCTGTTTAGCGGAATATGATGGTGACGGTCATGGATTGTCGCTTCAGTGTGGTTTACCTAGCGCATCACAGAATGCATGTTGGAATGTGAACTTCAACACACTGGCATCTTTAAGACAGACTGCGGTCAGAGTACAGACTGGTGGACAAAGAATTGAGAATGTAGAGCACGGTAATGATGTGAGATCTTTCAACCGATTGTAGTCATCCTCTTGTACGTTATGGTGGATAAATGGATAGAGGGGGAGGATGTCCGCAAGTGTACGGTCGATAACACGATGCTGAAAAAATGAGTGGGTTTTCGAGACCTGAAATGTGCCTGTACGCTAAATGGCTCGATCAGCAAGTCTTCCTACGGTTGAAACAGAAGCTCAAACCAAAAGATTTAGTCTAGCCTGAAGTATTGGCCATGCATGGACGAGTTCCTGGAAACACTTTTCAAGCTGTATTGGATCAAATGCTTCTCCAAGCACAAACGAACCGTGTGCCTGGAGAAACCGTGGTGCGCCCTTGTCGGCATAATGGAAGCTCATATTGTAAAATTCTCGTGAGGAGCACTGGACAGAAAGTCACTGAAAAGGGTCTTTATCCGGAACCCTGGTTATGGAGATCATCTAGAGTAGACGCGTGGGCCTGGACATCACCGGGCGCCACTAAGAAGAGTCGACCAAAGAGGCAGAACAATCTAGCCCCTTGCATGTGATAGACTGGAAACATATAAAGCCGGGCCGTGTATTATGTACAGACTCATACCCCGTCCCTTGATCAGGTCAGATCGACGGGAAATTATATCGTTTTCCAATCTGCTGAGCACAGGTTAGTGCATTAACAGAAGTTATCTGTACCTGTGGCGTAATATGCAACACCACAGCGCTGAAATATACCTTGCTCTGGTGCACCCCTGTCCAGAACCTTGCATAGCTCGTTATTTTCTCAGTGATCAACTACCCTTTATTACATGTTCCAGGAAAGAAAGGAAATGAAAGTAAAACACCGCTATGTCTACAGCTGATATCGGCGCACTAACCACTAGACTGAGAACGATATATCGATTCTAGTCAGCCAGGTGACGCGAAGATATGTCTCTCAACAGCTGATATAGACACTGCCAAAACATAACTAACATATGAATAAATGCAGCGGTCAGTACATGCTCGGCAAGATTCACGGACATACATTTGTATAACACTGTCAGCCTACCAATAGTATGTTAGAACATGGAGGTGTCTATAACTGCACTCTATACCCTCGATTTTGTATCCCTTGGGATACTAAGCTAATAGAGCCAATGGCTGGCTATTGTCCCTGGCTGTTTTGACTGATACAACCAAAGCATCCCTTGCTGCCTACAAACAGCTACCTTTAGGAGTGGTAAGAGCGTTATCGACTAGACCAATGCTAGCGAGGATTTGTCTGCTCCTATCTGCTCTAGAATATCTGCAATCCTTTTCTTGATCGATTGTTGCGTAAAGGTGTCTGGGCCATAATTCTCCAGTGATGAACCCAAAGGCCCAGGAACGGACTTGAGGGACGAAGAGCGTGCACAGTCCGTTCTATGTGACCGAGAATAACGCTAGAGGAGATCGAGGAAGCAATCTACCAACTGCGAGTCGCGTGTTTGGAGAAGACTGGCTTGAATATTCGCTAAGGGATGCACAGAACATCGGGCGGGACTATCGTTCGTGCGACTGCTACTAATCAGGACGGAAGAATGCCAATGATGTTTTACCCCTCCGCAGACGCCCAGGAGAATTTGATCCGCCGTGCGTACCGTGATGCCGGCATTGCAAGCACACCGTTGTTCGAATGTCATGGAACAGATACAGTGGCCGGTGGTACAACCGAAGGAACTGTGATTGCAAAGCTGACAGACAGGAGGAGCGTCTTTCTTGGGGTGGTAGGTGTATCACAATGCTCCTAGGAGCGAAGAAATCAAACTAACTTTGTGTAGGTCAAGCCGAACCTGGGACATGCGGAAGGTGTATCTGGCATCAACAGCATTATGAAGTCCATCCCTCGTGCTGAAACACAGAAACATCCCTCCCAATATCTATTTCAACTCCCATCATCCGAATATTCCTTCGGTGGAGGGGAATCTCCAAGTAGCTCTGAATGCCATTCCATGACCTAGTGACCGCCCTGAGGGGGTTAACATCAATTCTTTCGGTATCGGAGGGTCCAACGCCCACGTTATTCTTAAGTCCGCCGATTACTACATGAAAAGCCGTGACCTTCCGATCCGCGACAAAAACATTGCACCATCAGATAAGCCCCAAATTATACTCATCTCAGCAAATACTAAAGCGTCGTTGGATGCTCGTATTCAGCGGTTGACGACTTATCCAAACAGTATGGAGAAGGATTACCTTCTGTGCGATCTATCCCATGCCCTTGCTGTACGGCGACGACATCTCATCTACCGCGTATTTGTCATTGCCCGTCCAGATGTGGAACTGACTGAACAGGGATCCATTCGCTCATTATGATCTGGGGCGGCCCCTGAGGTTTGTCAATTGTCTTTACCGGGCAAGGCACACAATGGCTTGGCATGGGTAATAGATTATTGGATACAGATGCAGGCTTTGCTGCTGATCTAAAAAAAAAAAAAAAAAAAAAAAAAAAAAAAAAGAAAAGAAAAAGGATCAAATCCTTCAGAGTCTTGATACTCCTCAATGGAACCTGCAAGGTATTTTGAGAGACACTACTCACGTTAGTATATCCAGCATAGACAGCTGATCAACCGGTGAACGAACTACGCAGGGTGCATCAAGCGTCTAGAGTCCACGAGGCAGAGCTGTCCCAACTCCTCTGCGCAGCTATTGGTGTGGGCTCGGCGATCATGAGAGAATTTAGCAAGGTCGTTGTGCACAGCCCTGGGGATGTTGAGCACTCCGAGGATCAAATCACGGGTATTGTGATTGATTCGCTCGTTGCCATCGAGACCAGAAATTGGGCGCGCAAGACTATATGGTTGAAGATTCCAATGTCCGCACTTTCCAAGGTCAAAACGGTGGGTGAACTCAATAAGATGTGGTTGAGGGGCTGAAAGCAGAATACACCCAGGTAAGGAGGGAAGACGCTTATAATCAATTATTCCTATTCTTCAGTCTCAGGTATTCCAAACATGGTGCTCAGTAGTTTCACCTAGCCCACCTCAAACTCGAAAGGAATGATGGAGCGTTAGGGATATCACTCGAATCTATAGTATACTATATTTGAATTCAAATATCTCAAATTTAGAGTGCTTGCACGTCTTGAACTCCGTGAGATGCAGTAGAGGTGGCAGATAGTCTGGCACATCGCGCCCAACTCAGGAGACACCAGCACTTCGATGAACCACCATGCGAAACTATGCCAACGAAGGATGGCCAGCTAGTGATTCCTCGCATCCCAAACCTAAAATTGTATCGCTAGGCGACCATTTTCTCTCCGGCTTTGGAACGAATCAGTCTACAGCCCCAAGACAGTATATTCAGTAAGGACCCATCTGACAACATGGAGACTCTGTGCGCTTCTCAGATGACCCAAGTCGACACCTCACTGACCTGGAGATAGGCTCATAAAATCGTTCGCAGCGAATCCTGGACTCGACCGACCGCCGGTTCGTTCTTGGCCGAGGTGCTCAGACGGTTCTATCTGGGCGCCAAGCTGCCGAGAGTCATTGAAGCCAGCGGAGGTTGCCAATTTCTCCGCCGCACAGCGGGTGAGATCTGGGGAGGCTGTTTTGCTTGAAAGTTGCCACGCAGATATCCCCGGATACACGAGGTTGTCGGCCAAGACCGAGCGGGGGTTACACTCTGCTACACGTACCCTCCACCAAAGTCACGCCTGGATGACGGCCTGATACAACAGAGTTACAGTTCATGGTTTCCCTAGCCTCAAGAGCCGCTTTCAGTGCCCCTCAGTCTTGGCATGAGTCTCTAATAAACTCAAATCGGAATAGGTATGGATGGAGTGACCACCTCAGAAGTTGTCTGTATGGATAGTGCCACGCATCCAAGATCTCGGCATATGTAGTCCAAGACAATTCGCAGTTGTGTTCATTGAAGTCCAAGGTTCTTGGGTCGGATCCGTGAGACCGAGTACTTAAAGCTGAATATCAGATTGGCTGTAAAATTATCGAGCCCGAAGTTATACTTTGACGCGAATGGAACGAGTCATTTCGGTTGGGATGAGCCCAATAGACCAGAGGGTCCAGGTCTTCCTTGACACCCGGGTACAAAAAGGCCATCCTGACCCGGGGACATTTCGTTAAGGCACGGTGCGCCCCTGCTCTATTTCGAATATATACAAAAGACCTCCTTATCAAAACATCCCGGCGGTAGCTTTACCTAATACCATGATGGATGACAAAAAAGGCGACTCAGAGAATCCTACCTCGACGGTTCATCACCTTGAATCACCTACCTCTAATGAAAAGCAAGATCCAGAGGTAGCTCGAGACTGGACACGCGATTTGACCGAGAGCAAGAATGTCAACACATCCACGAGGTTGAAGAATCCACTTGCTGGTCTGACGCGTGATGAGCTATTTCGAGATGTCGAGTCATTTGCAAGGGACAAGGGCTTGGAGCATATCATGGGTGAGCTGAAAAGAAGCTCTCTTGTAGCACAAGATCCTAAGGGCTTCGAGTCTCTTGATGAATTATCCGAAGGCGATAAAGAACTGCTTCGACGTGAGAAGACACATCGATGGAGCCAGCCATTCATGATGTACTTCATGACTAGTACGTCTTCTCCAATACAGACTGACACAGACGGAATGTTAACAACCTACTAGTTCTTTGTGCTGGGTCTGCAATTGTCCAGGGCATGGACCAGACGGCAGTTAATGGAGCACAAGAGTAAGTGATACACTGCGAGATGCCCTTTCTATAAACTGAGTACGGTCAGGTTCTACTTCGCCGAGTTCAACCTCACCAATAGATGGCAGCAAGGGCTCCTCAATGGAGCTCCATACTTATGTTCCGCACTTGTAGGATGCTGGACAACCGCTCCTCTAAACCGTTGGTTTGGTCGTCGTGGATGCATCTTCATTTCATGCTTCATATCCTTTGCCTCGTCCTTTTGGATGGCTGCGGCACACACTTGGTGGAACCTGCTGCTGGGCCGATTTCTCCTCGGTTTCGCAGTAGGCGCCAAGTCGACAACAACCCCGGTATATGGCGCGGAATGCTCCCCTGCCATCATTCGTGGTGCGTTGGTTATGATGTGGCAAATGTGGACCGCATTTGGGATTATGCTAGGGTACATTGCTTCAGTTGCCTTCATGGATGTGACACACCCCACAATTCCCGGTTTCAATTGGAGATTGATGCTGGGTTCAACTGCCATCCCGTAAGTTTAGTCAGATCTACCTAACTCACAGGCCCTAGTTGTGCTAATCCCGTGAAGTCCCTTCTTCGTGTGCATGCAGGTGTACTTCTGCCCTGAGTCACCCAGATGGTATATGATGAGGAATCGCTATCAGGACGCTTACAAAGCACTTTGTAAGCTCCGCCCTTCCTCGTTTCAGGCGGCCCGCGACCTCTACTATATCCACACCGCACTACAGGTGGAGGAAAAGCTCCGGGAAGGCAAACACCTCTGGCGCGAGATGTTCACCATCCCACGCAATCGACGAGCAGCACAATCCTCGTTTTTTGTCATGTTTATGCAACAATTCTGCGGGGTCAATGCGATAATGTACTATTTTTGAAATGTGAGAGTAAGTTACTTGTAAAGATGAGCTGTATTTGCTATGTCTGTCAACTATCTAAGGGAGGGGCTAGTAGGAGGTTTAAATAACTTCCTTACTTCCCTAGGCTCCCTATTTACAAGTCGGAGATCTCCCACTGGCCCTGGGACTTTCCTAGTAAGTAACGGAAGCTTCCTTAGGGCATCTCTACTTAGCGGGTTCTTCCCTTTTTTGTATGGAGGATGAAAATCATGATCACATGACTCGATTTTCAACAACTATTCGAGTTCAATGTTCGCCGATGCAGGGTTTGATAGGCGTATGGCGTTGGTGACGTCATTGGGATGTGGTATAACGAACTGGATATTCGCTCTGCCGGCAGTATATACGATTGACACGTTTGGAAGGCGGAACCTGCTCCTCACCACATTCCCATTAATGAGCCTATTTCTGCTCTTCACCGGCTTTTCGTTCTATATCCCGGACCAAACATCAAGGACGGCTTGCGTGGCGACGGGCATCTATCTGTTCATGGTGGTGTACTCACCAGGCGAGGGACCAGTACCTTTCACGTACTCTGCTGAAGCATTTGTAAGTTAATGTGTATCAAATTGTGAGAAGAGCTCCTGCTAAACAAGACACAGCCACTTTATATCCGTGATGTAGGCATGTCCTTTGCGACTGCGACGACCTGGGGTTTCAACTTCATTGTCTCATTGACGTGGCTTCCATTGCGGGACGCCTTCAGTCCACAAGGCGCATTTGGCTGGTACGCAGCATGGAATGTTTTCGAATGGATCTTCTGCTACTTCTGTCTGCCTGAGACCAAAGCATTGTCGCTCGAGGAACTGGATCAGGTCTTCTCGATTCCCACGAGAAAGCACGTCAATCACTATGCACAGATGCTGCCGTGGTATGTAAGGAAATATATCTTGCGAGGAGATGTGCCGCCTCAAAAGCAGTTGTATGATTATGAGTAGATGGGAAGGCAGTGAAGGTCTGAACGGCAGAGCCAACATATCTCGTTGGAATTCGTGCCAAGGACGGCTAGCAGAGGAAGGCGAGCTTGCAACATATACGTTATATATACCCTTAAGTTCATATCATCCACACGTCATTCGGCTTAAATATCCGTACTCGATGCTTTCTGAGGTAGCCATAATATTATTCTAGTACTTGTTTCTTCAATAATCACGAAAAGCTTTAGTCCAGTCTTATTCAATTTTTACACTTGTTGATTAACTGGTTTCCCTCATTCATAATGCCTTCACCATCGCTAGCAACCAGCACTAGCCATGACACGATCTCAATCATTTTTCCGTCCGACTTCAAGATTATTGTCACACGGGGTTACCTATACTCAAAGGATGGGACGTACAAGAAGGCAACGTTCAACGTTGACCATGCAACACTTCTCAACTCGACTCAATTTTTTCGAGGCTGGCTGGATAGGAACAGGTTCTCTATGAAGCCGAAAAACGTCATTGAACTCGATGTTTCCAACGTTGTCACTTTTGAGATCATACTGCGCAAGCTTCACAACACTCTAGAACAGATGAGTGTAGGCACTGTCTCTTTAGCGGACATCTGGGACCTGCCGTATTTATGCCAAACTTGCCATGTCGATTGCAAGGAATTAACACAATGGTTCAAGACGTGGTGCGCTCACCAAAAGGGCAAGGTCGAGCCAGGCAAAGAGCTGAGCTACTATCATGAGGTCTTAATTCCGAGTTGTGTTTATAACGATGCCGAGATCTTTGCCCAATCAACGAGGACCGTTGTATACCAGAACACTGGGCATATTACAGCGCGCATCCCTAATGAGTATAGGAAGCCGCTTGCAGCGCCTCTTATGCGTAAGTCCCGAATCTATTTTGCCCTTCTTATTCTACATACCTTCAAAATCGAAGTCCCGAAATACCGTCATTGTTAACTTATGAGATGTACGGATTTAACAGGCCAATTGAACGCCGCCCGTGATCGCCTTTGTGAGATTGTCCACCAAGAGCTCTCTGGCCGCATTACGCATATCCTCCAAAGACCATTGTCACCCTGCTGTGAGCGTACCGTTTTCGAATTCCTTCGGGAGCTTCAGAGAATACAAGCCTGGCCTTTTGATGACTGCTTCACGAACCATGGAATTGACGAGCTTCTGAATCGCCTGGCCCACTTCGACGCAAATCGAATGCACAAGTACATTGATCCTGCCACGAACAGCCCAATAAACTGTGTTATGTGCAGTATAAATTGGGACACTATCGTTGAGTCCACAGTGACTTGCGTAGCTGGCTACTTCGATGGACTGTGTCTTGACTGCGCGCTGAGGACGGACGAGAAACCTCTCCCTGGTGGGCAATACGACAAAAAAGACTACTGGGACTGCTTAGAAAGCCAAGATCGGTACGATCGGAAATGTCGGATTAAACACGGAGAGCCCTCATGGTACTTTAGCTTCATGGGACAGCAGCGAGAACTACAAGCAACCCCAGCTCATGATGTTGGTCTTCCTTATCGTCTGTCGAACCAATGTTGAGTCTCGTCCGCTTAGACAAATGCTTTGCGCTCCTGATGGTGCTCCACCCATGCTCACTCATAAACTTCTAACAAGTAGGTATGCTCGTACCTAATTCAGGTGGTGGAAAACTCTGATATAATTCTGGTATTTTGTTTTTTCCAATAGCTGGCAATACAAGTTCGATTTCCTTAATTATGAGAATCTTGAAGTAAGACCTAGATATCTCGTATTTATGACACCATATTCGCTCAATAGCAGGCTTGCTACTTGACCTATCTTTAAAGATGAACCCCTATAGCCTATTTTATAGAACCTTACTATCCCTGACCATAGAGCTTACATATATCCATTCTATAGTTATGCCAAATTATCCCTGTCAAATAGACCTGCAGCAGCCGTTTTATTTCAAGCCACTCGCGTAACATCAATCCATCTGTCAGGAAGCTGACAGGTCGCCCATGCTATCTCCTCAAATATCAGCCTTCAGGTCAAGTTGTGTAACTGCATAACTAGGATTAAAATCAAAACGATACGATTGCT